GTTAACAAAGTCAGGTTAACTATCATAAGAAACGTTGGCAGAGACCAAACTGGTGAGCATTCTAAAAAATAAATTACTTGCATTCTTCACAGTTATCAAGATATAAGATGCAAAGAAATACTGAGGTATGTTTCAGATCAAAGGATACTCAAAAGACATGAGAAATGTAATTTATGGATTAGATCTTGAACTAGAATATATTATTCTGTTATAAAGGACATTATTGGGACAGTTGGCTAAAGATGATAAATTCTACAGATTACATACCAGGATAATGCTAATTGTCTAATTTTGATAACTGCACTGTGGTGATGGAAGGCAATGCTCTTATATTTAGGCAAAACACACTGAACCATAAATAATCCATGACTGAAGATGGTATGATTTATGATTCTTCCACTTTAAGGTGATGCAAAAGTAATACATACTTGGTAGAAACCACACTTCCAAATTTGAACTTTGCCCTTTTACTCGGCTAGTAATGTGTAGTATGATCCTTTCTCATGATACAATGCTGGGCAGGGCATTGATCGGCAGCTCCCAGGAAGCCGTTCAGTCACTAGGGCAAAATGCTCTAATGTAAAACATACTGTGTTGCTAAAGTGGATGTTCCAAGGGTTAGGTGTATTTAGTGCATTTTTGAGTTATGTACAACAGATGATAGGACATGATCTCAAGGAGCATTTGCATTTAGAAGCAAAGGGCTGAGTCATGAACTCAAAGAAGATGCAAACCCCATAGTTAAACTAGCTGTGTTCCAATCTCAGCACAGCTGTTATTAACCTATGGAACTTTGGGTAAGTATTTCAAGCATTCTATGAATGAAACCTGTTCATTAGTAAAATGGATGATGCTGACAATAGCAACTACCTTATGGATATGACATAAGGATGAAATTAATGAGTGTGTGTGAAGCACTAAGTCCTGTGCCTGGCATGTATGTGTAATCAGTGGTGGCTGTACTTAAACTATTCTGCCTCTGTCCTGTGAATAGGGAGAATTGGGATACAGCCTCTTCTTTAAGGAGCGTGTCTAGTGGAAGAAACAAAGGTAACGGAAAATAATTAAATCATGTGACAAGTATCCTGCTACAGATTTGAGCTAAGTGTAACATGAGGATGAAGCAATCTCTTCTTACAGAATAATGTCAAGAGAAGTTTCATGGAAGGCTAATGGTACAGATTGGATCACAAGGTGTAAATAGGACTTTGCCAAAAATGCAGGATTTTTTTTTTAAATTTAAAGAGAAAGAGAGTTTCAAAACACGCTAATAGAGTAACAATAATGAATACATCATGTATTGTTATCTTCTTAGTAGTTACTCAAACTACAAGACATACACATGTAATGTCCAAACAATAGTAGCATAGACCTTTCTTTTTAATGAACTAAGAGAATAACTGTGTGGACTTATATCTAGAACTTATAAAGAACTGAAATAAACCAGGCCCCTCCAATTCAAAGGCTCAATCCAAACATGGGCATCTGAGATGAACACGCACTTGTCAGATGAAAATACAAATGGCAAGTAAATATATGAACAAATGCAATTCTTGTATCTAACAGCTCAAGGGAATTGTAGTTTTGTTACTGGATTATGAGGGCTTAAGTATGAAGAGCCGTGAGGAGATGAGGCCAAGTTGGAGAAAGAAGGTTATTGGGCAGATAGCTTGAAAGGGTCTAACTTGTCCTCAGCCCCCTTTCTTGTGTTCTCTGTTTCTTGGTTGCCATGAGGTGAACAACCAAGCATCCTCCACTGTGCTCTTTCACTGGAGTATTTCTGTCTTGCCACAGGCCTAAAGCAATGGAGCCAAATGACCATGAACTGAAGCCTCTGAAACCATGAGCTAAAGTAAATCTTTTTTCCTTAAGTGGGTTTTCGTAGATATTTTGGAAAAGTGACAGAAAAGTAACACAAGCTGCAAAAGTTCTGGAAGGGCATGAGTACAGTGGTATAGCATTGCCAATTGTAGTGACTAACAGAAGGGACAGACTTACTGCCACTTGTGTGTGCTGGGAGGAGCACTGAAAGCCGGTCATTGTTCACAGATTCAAATTCCAGCTTAAATATCATTTAAGGCAGGCATGCTGCCTCTCTGATCCTTAGCTTCTCTGCAAAAATGGTTATGCTAACACTTAAACTCAGGGTTATTGGGGGATTAAAGTGCTTAGCACATGTGATGGTTGAATTAAATTGAGTTAAATTTATTAGCTTTGGGGTCTACCTGAGGGATTCTGGGTAGATCTGGGCGGGCCATGGAAGTGTGACCTTGAGTGCTATACATGGGCCCTGGCCCCTTTCTCTCTGGAGCTGTTACCTGGCTTTGCTTCCTGGCTGCAGTGAACTGTCTGCTCCACCACACCCTTCTTGCCTGATGTTCTTGTGTTGGAGTCAGATGAATGTGGACTGAATACCCTGAAACTGTGAACCAAATAAACCCCTGCTCCTTTAAAATGTAACTGTCAAGGACTTTGTACCAGCAATAAGAAAACTAATACACTAACATTAATGATTATTTTAGAAAAAATATGGAAGTTACCTACAGTAGTCTGTTGTAAGAATAAATCATAATATTATAATTTTATTTTAAAGATTTTCAACTTCAATAAAATAGTTCAGATATGAAATATTAATTTATGTATGAGGCATCATTTACACCTGCTAAACAAATATCCTACCCACTTTTCCTTTCTGTAGTCTAAGCTGGTGTATAAAATTCAATCAGCTGGCTGCCTGCTTGAGACCCACTTTTTTTCTTTGTGAACTCTCATACATATGTTTGGAATTAAAACTGTTAACATTAGGTACTGAAAAATGTACTAATAAAGGAAAAATCTGTCCCTTTCTCTTGTTAACCTCTGTTAGTTTGATCCTTGGGCCTCAACCATTGTATATAGGAGGATAAGGAGTAAAATCTTCCCCTCCCCTGTAAACCAAAAAATCATAGAGGAGGTTAACATGAAAGATCGTTTTATTCAGGTACGGAATAGGTTTACAAGTCAGGCAACACTTTTCAGCTGAAGGATAGTGGCTTGACCTTTATAAATTTCAAAGGTTAGAAACTGATGCAAATACAGATGGTGGTGGTACTTATATCTACATGTCCTGTCAAAGCCTCCTACACTCATAGGTGGAAATTTTCGGGGTGATTGGACCATGGGGGTTTGATTCTCATGAGTGGATTAGTCCAGTGACGAGTTTATAGCTAAATGTGATTTGGAAGATGAAGCCTAGTTGGTAGAGATAGGTCACTGCAGGGCCTGCCTTGGGGAGTTTAACTCGCTCCCTCTTCCCTCCAGCTCTCTGTGTGTCCCCTGGCCATATCAATAACCCTTGCTTTCTGCTGTACTGCTCTGCCTTGGAGCCAGCAGACTATGGATCGAAACTTCTCAATAAAGCTCTCCTTTAATTTTTGGGTGTTCAGCAATGAGAGAGTAATAAAGGGTCTCACTAACTTGCTAAATTGCTCAAGGTGGGGTGTGAACATGGTGAATCGTGATCCTCCTGCCTCAGCCTTCCAGACTGCTGGGATTACAAGTATGTGCTGTGACTCATTCTTGATATTAGCGTTTGGGATTCAGGAACAAGGTTGCTGCTGGAAGGGCTAGGAGATAGTTCAGTGACACAGCAACTACCTGGCAAGTGCAAGGTCCTGAGTTTGAATCCTGATACAAAAAAAAAAAGTGTTGGGGCTGGGAAGCCATTCTTCAAGGGTCTGTGCAGTTTCTGCGTGTCTCATGAAAGATTTCTGTGCTTGGTCCCTGAACCATTGGTCTTGCATCTTTTGCCAACATCGGTGAAAATGCAGCTGGCTACAGTCACAGGCAGTAGTTTCAAAAGCTGTTAAGTATTTTGCAGGATGACAGCCCTCTGGTCTATTTAGTTTTGGGGACGCTTAGGCAAAAATGATAATAATTAAAAACAAAAAAGAACAAAGCAAAGATAAAATGAAAGAAAATAGGTTTTTTCCTACCAGATACCATAATAATTGAAAGAGCATTATTATGCAGTAACCTGTAGTTAGTATTTAAATAGAAAACCTTGTCTCCCTCTTTCTATAGAATATCTACTAATAGGAAAAGATAGAATACATTTGTTAAAATTGAGTATGATATAGTAAAAATGAGGATGGAAATGCATTTGAAGGGAGTAGTTTTCATAACCCTTATAAACCTGACTGTTGTCATTTTGCTGATGTGCCCAAAGCAAGGCACGTAAAGGGATTTTGCCTAAGGGTCTGACTCTAGGGTCAGAATGAAGCTCAGAAAGATTGTCCAATTCCTTTCATTGTATGCAGGACACACTGAGGCCCATTGGGAGGAAGATACTTAGGCTACTGAATTCATGGGCTGCACGTATGACAAAATCTAAATTTTCTGAATCATTCTATAGTGTTTCTCATACATGCTCTTTCTCATCATCCTACTCTTTATCTGTAACTCAATTCTAAGATCTCTGGAGGCAAATATTATTTTGTATCACTTATAATCTCCAATCTGCAGTGGACCAGATTCACTGTTGTCGCTCTTCCCATCTAGCGCTGCTGGAGGAGACAGCTTTTTTCCATTAGGGAAATACTCCATACTGGCACTGCCCAGAGATCATAGCAAAAAGCCAGATGGCTACTGAGTATGTGATAATGTGACCATTGCGACTGAATTAGTTTCTTTATTTTTTGGTAGCAGGATTCGAACTCAGAACCTTGCCTTGCCAACCAAGGTGCTATACGACTGAGCTATAATCCCTGGCTCAAGGAAATATTTTCTTCATTTCATTTCATTTTATGCAAGTAAAATTCACATGTAAATAGCCATATTTGCCCAGCGGCCACTACAAACAGCACTGTAGGGACTGTGGCAACTATAGCTGCCGTTGGAAGCTCTAAAGTGAGGGGGGGTTGGGTTTTTGCGGCACTAGCGTTAAAGGGGTGGAGCCTGCGTCCTTGCGGCAGGCTGGGGGGATCCTGACCACGGATCTCGCGAGAGCTTGGGGCGGAGCATTGTGGGTCGGCTACGGTGAGGTGTGGCTGGGTGAGAGGGTAACCCACCGCCATGCCTTCCGACAGAGGAAAGAACCTGGGTGCCCGCAGGCTGAAGCTGCGGGAAGCGAGGGCGGCCAGCCAAAGACAGGCCGCTTCTGAAGGCGACAGTCGCGTGGAGAGCCTGTCTGCCGTAGAACAGGCCAGAATGATTGACCACGTGGTCGAGGCCGCCATGGGGCACATGCGCCACCGGGAGAGGCGGTCGGCTGCTCGACGCCAGCGTGCGGCCCGGCGCCACTCCATGTTCAGGATGTGGGCTTTCCGGTTCTTTCTCGTGTTTCTCATGTTCGTGTGGGGGCTATTGCTACTCAGCTGCTTCCAATTCAGTAAGCGTGGGCGCCGGGCTGGGGAGATGGTGGGGGGGGGTGTCGCGGCTGGCCGGAGGTGGATATGGGGGCCCAGCGACTGGCTAGTTTCTGCCTCCCGCAAGGCCTTCGGGGTGTTTTGTTGTTGCTGTTGTGCATTTGTTTTATTTTGTTTTGACTAGCCATGAATTTACTGTGTACCCTAGGCTGGCAGCAGACTCAGCCACCCGAGGACTGTGCCAGTATGTGTGCCACCCACCCTGCAATCTTAAGGCCTTTTGGCACTCTTTCTCAGCCTCCCACCCCCATCCCTCCCGCACCCTACTCCTAGTCCCCCTCCCCTCCCTCCCCACAGCTCCGCCTCCCTCCCCACAGCTCCTCCTCCCCCCACCCTTTCCCCTCTCCCCGCCTTTTCCCCTTCCCCCACCACTCCCCCTCTTCCCCCCTCCTGCGATTTTCCTCCTCCATCCTGCCCTCGAAGTCCTGTCCTTCCTCTCTGCACTGCATGAATGCCTGCTCTCCCTGGCTGCTTTCCAGGAGACACTCAACAAAGTGCTACCGTCCGGTAACTCTCCCCTTTTAGGTTGAAATTCGTATAAGATAAAATTTACTGGAGTATTTTATAGTGAAATTTCAGAGGACTTAGTAAACTTAAACATGCAACTATCACCCTTACCTACTTCCAAAATATTTTAACCATTACAAATTAAAAACCACAACAATAACTCCCAATTCCCGAGGCCATAAATTACTGTATTTCTTTGGACAGTCAAATAGTAGTCTGTTGTGAGCTAATATTGCATTTTGTTTATTCGTTTATCAGATTTATCAAATTTGGGTGGTTCTTTTTGTTTGTTTTTATTTGGTGCTGGGGATCGAACTCACGACTGTGAGCTTGCAAGGCAGGTGCTTATGCCGCTGAGCTGAATCCCGGGCCTCCATTTAACTTCAGGGCTATTCCAAACAGTGCTGCTGTGAGCATTCATCTATGAGTTCTCGTGTCCACACATTTTGAATTCTCTAGGAATAGAATTGCTGAGAACTCAAATTTGATCTTTTGAAGAAGTCTCAGACTTATTTACAAAGTGGCTCAATAATTTAACATTTTTCACCAATATTTGAGGGTTTCAGTGTCACCAGCATTTAGCCTCTTCTTTTGATTAAAGCCTTCCTACTAGATGTGCAAAGTATGTTACTATGATTTTCATTTTTGTTTCCTAATAACTGAAATGAAATATTTTTTCTTGTCCTTGTTGACCATTTTTTACAGCTTTGGAAAAACGTCTTTTCAAATCCTTTGGTTGTTTTAAAGTACATTGTATGTGGTCTTGTTGAGTTGAAAGAATTCTTATGTATTGGGTATATGAGTTGAGAGAATTCTTACGTATTCTGTATTAGATAATATGTTTTGCAAAATTACTTCCTATTCTCAATGTTTTTTTGGATAATATCCTTTGATGTAAAAAAAGTTTTGAATTAATAAAGGCTGAGTAATTTCCTTTTTAATTTGGTGATTTGGGTTTTTGATTTTTACAACTAGAATCCACTTACAAATCCAAGGTCATGAAGATTGCTCTTTTTGTGTAAAGAATTTTATGCTTTTAGCTCTTATAGTTGAACTTCTGATCCATTTTGAATTAATTTTTGTGTATAGTTTGTATTAGTATAGCTTCATGCTTTTGATGTGGATATCTAGTTGTCCTAGAACTATTTGTGAAGAGATTATTCATTGTCTATTAAATGGTCCTAGAACTTTTTATGAAGGAATTACTCATGCCCTATTGAATGGGCCTGACATCCTTGTCAAAAATCATTCGCCTGGGGGCTGGGGATTTAGCTCAGCAGCATAAGCGACTGCCTGCTTAGTTCGATCCCTGGTACTGATAAAAACGAAAAAGACAAAAAAAGAAAAAATCATTTGCCTATAGATTTGTGAGTTTACTTTTTCTCGGAATGTCTATTTCTATGCCACAATCTTTTGATTAATTCAGCTTTATAGTAAGTTTAGAAATTGGGGTGTGAGTTTTCTAATTTTGTTATTTATCCATACTATTTTTACTAGCATTTAAATCGCTTTCTAACTGGATTTATTTAGGAATCAGTTTTTCTATTTCTGAAAAAAGTTCATTGAAATTTTGGTAAGGCTGAGGTCTCTATAGCTCACTTTGGGCAGTATTTTGCCATATTAACACTATTAAGTCTTATGATTCATTGACACAATATAGTTTTATTTGTGTTTTCATCAGTTATTCCCTCCATTTTTTTCTTTTTCTTTTTTTTTGGTCATTTTGAGAAAGGATCTTGCTATGCAGTTCAAGCTGACCTTGAGCTCACTTTGTAGCCCAGGCTGGTCTCAAACTAACAACCATTCTCTTGCCTCAGCCTCCCAAGTGCTGGAGTTACAGGCATGTGCCACCACACCCAACTCCATTTGTTTCTTTAACTTCTTGGATTGTTTACTCTTTGATACATTATTCTTTTGACTGTTAATTGTAAATGGATTTTTTTTCCTTTTGGATTGTTTATTGCCAGTGTATAAAAGCATAAATGATTTTTACATGTTAAGCTTGTAACCTGTAAATTTGCTAAATTTGCTTGACAGTTCTAGTAGGTTTTTTGTGGACTTCTTTTCATCTTTATTTTTTGGTACTGGGGATCGAACTTGTAACCTCATGCTTGCCGGGCAGGCATTTGTACCACTGAGCTATAAACCTCGCCCATCTTATTGGATATTCTAAATCTAAACTTGTGTTATCTTTTTTTCTTCTTCATGGTACTGAGTATGGAACCCAAGATTCATCTTATTAGTGTTATTTGTAAATAGAGATATTTTAGTTCTTCCTTTACAAATGTAGATGCCTTTCGTTTCTTTTTATTGCATAATTGCTCAGACTAGAACATCTAGTATGCTGTTGGAACAGCAGTGGTAAAAATGCTTCCTTGTTTTAAGGGAAAACTTCTTGATCTTTTACCATTATAGTCTTTACTGTTGGTGTTTGCTAAATGTTCTTTAACCATGTTGAAATAGATTCCTTCTATTTATAGTTTTCAGAATGATTTTGACATGAAAACATATTAGATGTCAGATGTTTTTATCTGCATCAATTGAGACATGATTTTTTCCTTTTGTTGTCTTGATGTATTAAATTGATTTGCTTCTGTTGAACCATCTTTGATTTCTTAGGACCATTCCACTCAATTTTTTTAGTATTTTGTTGAAAAATTTCTCATTTGTTGCAAATAGTGCTCACCTGTAGGTTTTTTTGTTGTTGTTACAGCTTTGTCTGGTTTTGGTGTCAGGATACTGGACCTGATAGCAGATGAAAGAGTCAAGTTTTCCCACTTCTATTTTTTTGCAAAGATTTTGGTTAGAATTTTTAATTTTTTTTTATTATTTTGTGCTGCTGAGCTGTATACCTGGCCTTAAAATGTCTTCTTTTTCCAACCTCTCTGGAACTGGAATACTCCAGTTCCTTACCTCCTCACCAAATTCGTTTTGTTCCCTCATGAATTCTTTCCTTCCTCATCTCTCCTAAGGATTTCTTTTTATTATTTCTGCTGCTTATTACTATACTCCTTTACTTCACCATAGTACCAACCCCTTTCATCTTTTTTAATGCCTTTCTACCTCTCACTTCACCTAACGTGTTGTTATGGTTTGAAACCAGGCCATACAAGCTTTATGTGCCCATAGGTGAGGCTTTCAGAGGTGAATGGCTAATAGGGGCATGATACACTTCAGTGGTTTATTCATTCATTAGTTTAAAATGTGCTGTTGAGAGTTGAAGTCTAGTTAAAGGAGGTGGGTCACTGGGCGCATGGCTGGAAGAGTCTGTCTCCCTGTCCCTTCCCTCGTCCCCTTGATCACTTGTCTTACCTCCATGTCAAGAGCTTTTTTCCCTCTGACATGTCTCTCTTTCATGCCTCCTTGGTTTGGAGCCAACCAACTATGTACTGAGACATCCTTTACTTCATCAAGTTAACCAAAATAAGCCTTTAGCCTTAGAGTTGAAACTGTCAGGTTTTATGTCTCACTGATGAGAAAGGAACTAAGATGAATCCACACACCAGAAGTGGGATAGTTGCTATGAAAGTACCTGACTGTGTGGTTCACAAGCTTTTGTAACTGGCTTGTGGGAGGAGTTTGGAAAGGTTTGAAGATGACAACTGGAGAAACAGCCCTAGAATAGTGCTGTAGGCTACCTTGATGAAATTCTGGTCAAGAGTCCAGACTAGAATATTAACAGTAATGCAGCCAATAAAGATCAGATTTCAGAGGTTTGGTGGGGGACTGCATTTTCTCATGTCTGGAGACAGTGGGAGACTGACATAAAGAGTAATAGACCAGCATGAGAAATTTTTTTTGTACGATGAATCAAACTCAGGACCTTGTGCTTTCCAGGCAGGCACTGTGCTGCTGAACTATATCCCAAGTCCATAGCGAAATTTCCACAGCCAGACATTAGGCTGTGGCTTGGGTACTTTTGGGGGCTTACAGCCAGCTCAGCCTTGAGAATTAAGAGCAGAAGGCACAGCTAAATAATTTAAAAAGTTCTAGGGTTGCAGATGTTGGCACATGCTTGTGATCCTAGCACTTAGGAGGCTGAGGCAGGAGGATTGCAACCAATTTTCTGTAACCTGTGAGGTAATTCTTACCGCCTATCCTTTTCAGAGGAAAGTTTTAAATAATAAATAAAGATGGACTAATAAGTAATATTTTGAAATTGCTTTGACAACACAGACAAAACTCAGTAACTAGTTTCTTTGGGTTATCATATTTGAGTATCTCATTTACATAAATATATTTAGTTAAAAATAAATTGTCATAACATTATAAATGGAAATTTGGTTGTATTTGCTATTAGGAGAATTATAGTTTTTATCAAAACACATATTCTGAAAACAAAGTGATATTGTTAAATTTAAATTTTTCAACAATAAAAGCAAGCAATGAAATATACATATGGTAGTGTTTATGCATTTAATGTTGTACTAAGCAATGTATGACTTCATTTAATCCTTATCCATCAAAATAAACATCTCCATTTTAGATAGGTAAACTGAGGCAAAGAGAAGTTTAGTTTAGTTGCACAAGTTTACCAGCTAGTAGGTGGCAGAGCCAGATGCAAACTTAGGTTTGTTTGAGGCCAAAACTGAGAAAGGCATCACCATACGGAGATGTTCAACTTAAAATCCAACAAATTCCTTTCACAGTGGATACCATTAGCCATTGTTCTCAGTCTGTCTCCTTTCCTGGTGTCATTCAGTTCCACATTGGACAGACTTTACCCTAGAGCAGGGCTGACTGCATACTTGAAAAATGAAAATGCAGGCTCCTTTGTTAGAGATACATTACAGATTTCAGCCTGTTGATAGCAGAACATTAAGCCAAGCATATGTTTCCTCTAAGATCAGGGGCCCTGTAAAACTGCATAGACCACATGACCACGAATCCCTTTGAACTGAATCTGGTTTTTCTTTTTCTTTGAAGTAATAGAGTTTTAGTCTTTATTTTTGTAACAGGAAAATTAAAAATCAAAATAATTTGTGACAGGGAAACATAATTGGTTCTTTAACATTTCTTGCTGCCATTTAAGGATGCTGACTCCTAATAATATTTTGTTTGCTGAGCATGGTAATGAATGGAAGTATGCAAATTAGAGGACAAGAGGATGAGATTATTCTACATATGAAAAATGGTGGAGGAGAGGTAAGAGGCTGCTTGAGTGGAGAGGAAGATCTGAGAAAAAGATTTGTGTACTGGCTGGCTGATGGGAGATTTAGAAGAGGGAGAATAAAGGAAAGGAGACAGTACTCCGGGGAAGAAAGGACAAGGACATTTAAGGAGCTGCAAAGGTTTGCCATATGAAAAATGCTATCAGCTTTGTTAAGCATTGCGATAGGTTTGACATGCTATTATATTTTCTACAATTTTAAATAAATACATAAATGGAAAAACAATACTGATATAAGCATTCATCTGTATTTCACCTAAAATTTACGTATACTATTAGTGGTACTCATACCCAATTTTGAGAAATAGTATTCAGATTTCTTTATAAATAATTGTATTTTAGAATAGAGAGGGAACCCGAGGTGGAGGGCAGGTTAAATATTCTCAAGACTTGTCCAGGCTGTCACCGGTTATGCTTAGATGAGTGAAGATGTTAAATTGTATTTTCCATTTCAAATACCCATTGAAATGGCTAAGAGACCATAGGGCAAAACCCTGGAAAATCTTAAAGATTGCCACCTGCTATCTGTATGACAGAAATATGGATGGTTTCTTGAAAGAATGAGGCCAGACAAGACTGCCAGAAGTCATAACAACCCGTGTTTCCCCTCAGATGTAGAGAGTCTGAAGGTCAGGGCCCTCTGAACTGGGGTCAAAGTTGAGGGATTAGTTTCTGTACTCAAGGACTGCAGAGAAGACACCACAAGGGAGACTCCAGCTGCAGTGTGATGCTGCCAGCCAGCATGTCAGATGGTGCAGTCACGTGGAAGTACATTCCATTGTGGGAGGCAGCACTGAGCAAACAAAGGGCAGTGCAGACAAAGATCCTGTCAAGGACTGTTTTAACTAACTGAGTAGAACTGAAACAATACAAAATTTAAAATCAGTTATGATTAGAGGAATAGTTTTTGATTTAACAAGGAGTACATCAGCCTTTTATCAGCAGCTTACATCAGCTGCCTTACTTCAGCAGCTAACATTATACAAGTGAGGAAAGACTCAAGAATGCCCATTACCATGCCTGTTATTTGACATAGCTTTAGAAATCCTATGTAGTACAATGACAGAAGAAAAATAGATGAGCTGTTAATATTGGAAAGGAAATAAAACTGTCTAGTGATACGATTGTCTGTCTGGAATCAAAATAAGAGCTAACAAGAGTCAACTGATAATTCACTGTATGTGAAGATGTGGACAACTTTTTGGAAGAAAACAAGAGACAATAGGATAGACAATGAAGATCTCCAGTGGTCTTGCTTTGAAATCTGTTTCTTAAAATTTTTTTCTTATGATCTGTTTTGTTCTGTTTAACTCTTAACGTCTTTAACGTAAAAGAAGAGTGAACTTCTAGTCTAGGTTAGAAAAGTACATGAAAAGTCAATAGCTCTTCCATACCAGTGATCAGTAAAATTGACAAAATTTACATAATAAATATTTATGATACCTGAAAAGAAATGTGAGAAAAATGTAGGACCTGTGTGACTGCAAATGTAAGGCTTTAGCTTTATACAGAATCTTGAAAAAAGACTTGAATGAATGAATGAACAAAATAGTTTTTAAGTGAAAAATTTCATAAGGTCATCAGTTTTTCTAAATGACTATAATTGATTCTTGCATGGCATAAAGGACATAATAAATAGTTATTGAATGAATACTAAATGAATATAGTGATAAAAATCTTTTTAGGTTTTTTTGACTTAAAATAGTTTCAACATTCACTTAAAAACTTTTCATCTTGATAAGTAAAATTTTGATAACTAAGACTACTGATGAAATATTTGTTAAATAGGTTACTAAAATGTATAACAATGAAGATAAATTATAACAGTATTGTGCATGAACATATCAATATGTAAAACAGAAAATCAAGACAAATCTGCATAAAGACTTAGATATGATGATATACCAAGTAGAAAGCAATGGATTTTGTTTGGTTTATTCAAGAATTCCATCAATGTCTTTAGCTTCTGTGGCCGCATAATTGCACCATTTTTCTCTCTACAGTTCTTAGATAACTTTTTTTTGCTTTAGCTCACGATCTCATGTTATATATTTTATGAGGATTTAGGAGAGGGCCACTTGAAGTCTCCAAACATAAAGATGTAAGGAGAGGGAAATATCAGTTATCTTGGTTTGATCAGTGGGTGCTGCATACATATATTGAAATACCACATTGTACTCAATATGTACCATTAATACACATTAATAAAAATATAAAGGATAGATTTAGTAAATAGTGTGTGGAGAGCTGGAAAAATGTATCCTTACTTCATAATATACTCCCAAACATATAGCAGGTAGATTAAAGACTTTAAGAAGTGAAACTGCCAAAAAATTGGTAGATGGATTAGAGTGTGGAGTGTCTCTGTAAACATCACTTGAAAAGATAGTCCTACTACATAAAGCTTTTATACTTCAGAATGCTATACACTTCCTGAACACTATTACAAATACAAAAGTGATGATTACCTTGAAAAATATTTGCATCACGCCCCAGACTAAGGCTTAAATTCTGTATTATAAACAATTGTACACAGGATATAATCTTGCTGATTACTAAATGTACAAATTAAAACAAAATCTTTTATTTTGGCTATTAAACTGCCAAATAACAATGAAAGGGTAAGGATGCAGGAAAATTGGCACTTGGCTATACTTACTGGTAGAAGTGAGCTTTGGAACAGCTTTGCTGGAGAAGAATTTGGACACGGTCAATAGTCATTCCTTAAGAATTTTTGGAGGACTTTTACACAAACATCTGCAAATAATACAGGTCTAGTAATAACCTTCACAAACCAGTGATTGTCACTGCAGTGTTATCAAATTGAAGATAAACTGTCTTGCTGTAGAGAAATGGTTCATAATTGTAATTTAGCGATATAATGAACTACTGTGGCACTGGAAATACTTAATGATATGGACAAATCCTTGCTAGTTTTTTCTCTCAAAAAGAAGGAAATTGTACAAATAAAACTAAAAATAGATTCCTTGAAGTAGCAGGGAAAAAGGGTACAGTTTTACTGTATGTAAAGCCTTAATTTTTATCAGTGTATAAGGAAGTCAACGTATTTGTGAAGAGTTTCTGAGATGGCTTGTGATTTAATTGGAATGCAGTTTGTGAATTGATGCACCTGTGATGTCAGAGCTGTTTGTCACAGGCGAGTGTGCTAATCTAAATCAGTTTACAGGGCAGCAATGGAATGTATCAATCTATAGTTTAAGAATTTGTATATTTAATACTACTTCAGTTTCAGAGTCACAATCTGATTATTAATCGTATCTATGCTGTTATGATTAAAATATAGTATTTGTTAGCTATCAGTATTTACATAATTAGCTTAAGCAATTTAGCTTAAGCATAGTAATGAGTTACTATTACAGGGTCATTTATAATAACAAATACTTATTATGCTGAGATTAATAATTTTATTTCTTCAGGAGTTTCGGAATCTGTATCTTCAAGTGGAGTTGTTCCATGGAATATTGAAGTTGATGTCCATCCCCTGGAAGAAAAATCTATTTGGAAAACTGCGGCTGATTTTTTCTTTCCAACAAGTATGTTCTTATTTTATTTTTTCTCCCCTCCTCCTGTCCTTGTTTTAAAAACAATGGTTAAATATTTACAAGGTAGCCTGGTGCATCAACATTGAAATGGGACAGACCTGAGTTTGAATCCTGAGTCTGATCTTTGCCTTAAACAAGGTAATCTATCTGAACCTCAGTGTCTTCATCTTTAAAATAGAGGTATTTACCATAGACATTGTGAGGGTGAACCAAGACGGTATTTACAAAACATTCCATAGGTGTTTTTTATTCTTTATGGAGTACCTTCCTTTCATAAATATTTAAAGCTTTCCCAATTTTACCTGAATGGCATTGCCTGAAATTTAATCACTGACCCAGGATTGTGAAATTGATACCTTCTGGGACATTAAGCATGATATTGTGTGGCTTATATTATGGAACATACTAGATATTTTCCCATCTATTTCAATAATAAAAAGTTTAGGTTTTAAATCACATCATCTTTCTGTGATTCTGTGTATAATGTGTTTATCAAGCATGTGAGGACCCATGAGAATTATTAACCAAAAAAAACTTGTTTCTTTTTGTATAGCTCATGGTGCCCTTTTGAAGGCAAAATGTCATATAATTTGAAATATGTGAATTACACACTTAAACTTGCATTAAAAATCATGAAGAATTTATTCTGATAAAATGTGATGTATGCTTGTAAGCACAAACTTATATCTGTTACTCAATTCTAGACCCTATCCCTGGATTTTTCTGTGACCTTGTACAAATCTCTTCATGTTTTCTTGGTTTCTTGAAGTATAAACTAGTCATTGTACTTGCTACTAATGAGAAAAGCAAACTAAAGGAGTTCTTTAAGTAAATTACAAACACTGTCATGGTCAAATTGAAAAAAAGAAATTTGAGAAGCTGTTTGGTTGTATAGACTAAAAGAATAATTTACTTGAGAATATTAAACAATAGGTCATAATTTAGAACTTTGAAAATAATAGATAGTTATAAATGCTTAAGCCACAATTTAAAAAGTTTTTAAGATAATTATTTCCATGTTTATCCATCCCAAAACAGTAAACTGAGTAAAAATCAACTCTCTGACATAATTTTTCCAACAAAATCTGTTTTAGTAGAAGCATCTAATTTAGATCAAGTCTTTTAAAACAAAGGTTCAATATTTATAAAGGATACATATTGTCTTTTTGGAAAGAATAACTGCAAAATATCTAATACCTTTTTGTTGAGTGTCCCAACAAAAAGAAATGATAAATGTGTAACGTGATGGATATGCTAGTTACCCTGATCTGATCATTACACACTGTATCCATGTATTAAAATATCACAATTTACCCCACAAATGTGTAAATTAATTTGTCAGTTAAAAGGATAACTACAGGTTCATAAAAAGTGAAACATTTTAATCATCTTTTCTTCCTGTTTAACTGAAGATATACAGTATTATCACTTAGACATCAAAAAAGATGTTGTTTTTTCATTAGCCTGTGAAACCTCTGTCTCTTATAGATTGAAATAATAGTTTGAGATGGAGTGGCAAGAGAAGTCATTTGATTCTTTTCTCTTTAGACAGATTTAAGTATCTAAAATTGATAAAATTGCTCAACTTAGTTTATTCTATAAAATTATAAGTAATAATAAAGCTTTCTTAGTAATTTGCAAGTTAGTTTAATATCTTGCATAAAGTCTGTCAGATGCAGTTTAAGCATAAAATAAGGAGCTTAGCATTGGTGAGACTGTAGAGATTAGCTAGTTGAATTTCTTCCATGATTAAAACTGTGTTTAGCGTTCCTGGGAAATAGTATTTGAACAGTGATAGTGGCAATAAATGACCTCATCTCTGACTGGGTCCTGACTAATGTCACACTTTACTCGGAGTGTGGCACTCAGAACTGAACTGAGTACTTATATTCCAGATCTAGTTCCAGTTGGTGGAGGTGGGCCACTCTAGGCTTAGGAGAGTTGAAGAACAGATTGCTTAGAGTATATAAAAGCAAAATATGATAAACTCACATGTCTAAAATGCTTGCAAAATATCTCATCCAACTTGTACTGCATTAAATGTGACTTAGTATAAATTACTTTGATCCTTTATTCCTTTTGTTTTCTGTTTTAAAATTTTTATTTTTTATTAGTGTACATTGGCAGTACATAATGATTGCATTCATTGTGGGGAGTTGGTATATGTATATGTATATGTATATGTATATGTATATGTATATGTATTAACACAGTTCTTTTTATTTTTAAAGTGAAGGTTATAAAATTCAGTCTGGAAGTTTGCTATAAAAATTAGTGGTAATGTGTGTAAATAAAGTTACTGACCCAAACAGATGCCTACTGAATGGTTTCCATTATGGCTTTTACTTTAGCTTAAGGCCTTGCCCATCTTTAAAGAACAGAAATAGTATATAATGAAATGTATTAAGGGATTAAATATGCTTAAAACAATTCTGTAGTTCCTTGCTGATGTTGAAGTGCTTCAGAATGATTATAACACATCCGTTACTACTTTTAAAAGTCTATAGTTGCTGATTCTATAGAAGATTGAACTGAATCTCTTTTGGCATTCAGGCATACTATAGGAATTTTTTCTTTTTGAATAAAAATCATATAGTAGACTTTCTTGTTTCCCTTACAAAGCAAGGTCTTTTTTAAAAAATGCTATTTAAGCTTGAAAGTCTTATAGATTCAGATATATGTAAGTTTATTGCAGTTGCATTAGATTCAGTGTTCAGGCCATAAATAATTGGTTATTTTAAAAGTATAGAATCATAACTTACTGTGGAGATTTTATTCAGTATTCTCAATGATGTATTTGATGAATTTCTGTACCTTAGTAACATTCTCTGGGAGGATATCTGTGGTATCACTTTAATGAAGTGTTAATTTTAAAGGTGTTTGGCTTGTTAAACTCTTTCTGTGCTATGTTTACATTACCACCTGTTATAGTTACTTTTTTCACTGCTGACACACAATACCCAACCACCAAAATTCTAAGGAGGAAAGGTTTTTTTGGCCCAAGGTTTCTTTTAGTCCATAGTCAGCTGGCTCCAAGGTAGGGTAGCTTGGCAGAGGAGTCGGAGCTTATGGCATGGAAGAAGACAAGGGAGATTAAGGGAGGAGAAAGGGATATAGACTGATGAGTACCATGCTGCCATGATTGAGTCTCCACCTCAAAGCTCTATCTCTAAGCACATAAGGGTTTGAGGAAACATCTAGACACAAATTAGAACACTCTCATTCAGTATGATTTATTGTCCTTTTATGCATTTTTAAATTTTTATTAATGATTTGTTGAAATTTTTTATTTTTCTGTAGTTTACCTAAAACTAAAAGTGTGATGTTAAAAACTGTTGGTTTTGGGGCTGGGGATTTAGCTCAGTGGCATAAGTGCCTGCCTTACAAGCAGGCAGTCATGAGTTTGATCCCTGGTACCGATAAAAAAAAAACTGTTGATTTTAACTCCTATTTTCACTTATTTTTTTCAGCCTTCATCATTACTTGTATGTCATTCAATCTTTTGAATGTACCAGCTTTTTTCATTGTAGTAATTATTTAATTAGGCAAAGTGCTTACTAATCGTACTGAGTCATCTTTCTTGGTTTTCTGTTTCTAAAAGGCTGCAATGTAAAGGAGAACAAAGAACTAAAGGCTTGCAGCAAGGGGCTGAACCTTAATGAGACTGAGTGTTTGAGATCCAACTGCTGTTTTTCATCAACTAGTACCATGCTGTGCTTTTCCCCATTATTAGATAGTAAGTTCATCCTCACTTATTTGCTTTTATTTTTAGAAATTGAGTAAAGAGGTTTTAGTGATGTAAAGTCACATTTGGATCTCTCAGCCTAACACTTTGAGAGAGTTTTTAGTCTTAAAGCAATGCTGTCCTTTGTCCTGAAGTAGTCAGGCCTCAGGAGCAATTTCTGCTTAGTGGAGGTATTGTGAGCATTCAGAATTAGTCTCACTTTTTCTTTTGCTTAATCACTGTACATTTTGTCTCAAGAGTTCTAGGATCAATGATGTACAAACTTTCAAATGCCTGGGAAAAGATACTGAGAGGTAGAAAAGGGAATGATCCCTTTCATGCTCATCATAAAAAGTCATGGTTGACAGCTCTTGCAAAAGACTAATAAGTGAAGAGCATAAGAAATTTACTTGACCATAATTTTATGTGACACAGGAACCATCAGATTGAAAACCCAAAGATAAATGGTGAGCTGTCCATTTTTATGCTTAGATTCCACGAAGCATGGACAACCATGTAGAGATATGATTAGACATAAGGGGCTTGACAGTGCTAATAAACTTAAGTGGGGAAATTCAGCAGGGAATTTTTGCTTAGATTTTTTTCTTGAGTTTTCTGTCCAACGTTCTCTCTTTCTGGATATGGGGCAAGATTGTTTGTGAAATGGGACTCTAACGACCTACATTCATGCAAGGTAAGTGAGAGTTTCTTTATGACCAGCACCAAGAAAGGTAGAAGAAGATGAAAGTAATATTTTATGAGGCATATGGCTTTTCCCTAAAGAGAAAAAGTTTTGTAATTTCTATCAACTTCCTTTGGTAAGAGAAATTGTGGTTTCTATGTCTTTTCTTGAGGGCAAAATGGAGCAGGAAACAGGGTTGAAAAAGGTCAGTAAGAAAGTTGGATTCTGAAGCTTTCGTTTTGGGGTGTCTTTTTCTAAGTCCCAGTAATACCAATTGGGCATGCCTTAGCTTCCTTTTCTCTTCCTAGCTTCTTGAGTAGGATTCTTCACAATTATCTAGTGTTCAGTATTTTGGCATATAGCAGTAGACTTGAATTTTTTGTTAAGATCTGTTTAGGAACTTTTCTTTGTTTTGATGTTTTTGAATTAGGTTTGTAAGATTTTTTTTCTTTCTAAAGCTCTGAGAGTTACAGTATTGGATTTTGCTACCTTTGGGTAGTGGGGACATATTACTAGCTGGTCCCATGACAAATGGATTTTGACATGAAGGGAAGTTAACAAATGCTATAAAAAGGATGCATGCAAAGCAATATGTTACATTAATAATAGTCCCTATTCAATTACAGCTCTTTGTAGAACATCTGGTATTAATAATGAAAACTAAAACTTGATCATGAATATAGTATTACAGTTTTAACATTGTCACTTGGTATTTATAATTCATCAGTTTAGTCTTTATATTATGTGTAAAGAGACATTTGGTTCTTTTAGAAGGGAAAATTGAGCTGTGACTTAGAATTCCCCAATCATATTAGAATGTATTTTCCAATGAATGGGAGACTAAAATATACTTATTCACCTGCAAATTCTTGATTTCTTGTTTAAATTAGTGTTTTACAATCTGGAAGTAAACATTTAAGAAGCTATCTTTTTACCAAATTAACTGTTCATAGCTTAATTTGCTTCTCAAGTACTCTATAACATATAATATATGGTCACAGAAAATGCACACTTTATGGCATAGGAAGAAATGTATACCATGTATCCTACTTACAGAGTAGTAATGATTATTTACCTGTCATATAAGAAGGTCTTCGTTTAACTTTATTAATGGATAGATTATTATAAAGACTTTATGTATAAGCTCATACTTGTTTAAGTCATAAAAGTAACAGAATGTAATTAAACTAACAGAGCCTTCACAGATGATCCGAATATTTGGGCTCAGTGTGTTCAGCTTGATCGTCCTGGGATGGCTGCCCCTTGGTTGCTGCTTTTTTTGGCAGAAGAGGTAGGCAAGCATGAACTTTTATTTTATTTCTGAATATATGTAGGTATTTGTATGTAGACACATTTATTCAAATGTTTCTGAAATAAAGGAACTATGCTTGGGAGCTCTGTTTCAAAAGGAAGGTAGTTTGAAAAAGTCTTCAATGGAATTATATTTGTATTGTGTTGTGTTCTGTTTACTTTTGTGTTATTAGGAACTGGACCCAGGGCCTTTGCATTGAGCTATGTTCCCAGTCTTTTTTATTTCTTATTTGCAAACAAGGTCTTGCTAAGTGACTGAGTTGTTGAGGCTGGGCTCGAATTTGAGAATTTATAATCTTGGAGTGCTGTGGGTTTGTGCCTCGAAACCAGACTAATAGTAATATTTTTAAAAACATATTATTTTACTTTCCCCTCAAATCAAGACATCTTTTGCATAGATCCTGTGTATCTCATCATCCAACAAAAGCTCAAGTAGAAAGAATGATAAATTAGCAAACTGGAGGTGTGTGGATTGTGGGGCCTATTAAGCTAGTATCAGAGAGTTTCCTGAAGTGGTAGTTTCCATTGTGTCATTTGCCATTTTTGCTGTTGTTCCCATTGTTGTTGTACTGGGATGGAACCAAAGGCCAGGTGCCTGCTAAGCAAATGCTCTACCACTGAACTACATCCACAGTGCTTTTAATTTTGTTTTAAATTTTAAGACAAGGTCTCGCTAAATTACCCAGGCTAGCCTTAAAATTACGGCAATCTCGCTTTAGCCTTTTGAGTAGCTGGGATTATATGCACACACTAGTATTCCTGGCTTGCCATTGGTCTTTAGTGGTTGCTTACCATTGGGTCTTAGAGCCTTGGTTTACCTTCAGACCAGGTTGTATAGGATTTCTTCTTGAGGTCTTAACACAAAATACTAGTGGACTATTAACGTGATGATTCTAAATATTGTATCTCCCCAGCTACTGGGACAGAGTGGGTGTGGAGTTCCAAAAAGGAGAGCTAAGACTAGAGTAAGAGGTGTGAGGCACTTGGGACACAAACACTGAGGAGCAGTCCACTGTCAGGTTTGTGCAGATGCAGAGTCAGCACTGCCACAGCCTTGAATATAAGTACTTCTGTGAGTTCTCTGAGAGTTTAACTTGGAATGTGCCTATTGAAGATTAAGCATCTTTGACCTTTTTTTGAAGTTAATGGGAAAGTAATATTGGAACTACCAAAAATTGATTTAGATTTCACCATGAAGTGTAGATTATAAACATTACCTTATTTTCCATGAAGATAACTAGGTCTTGGTTTACATCAATATAATGACCCATTTGGGGCCTTTTTACTTTTATCAGTACATGTTTGCAGTACATAATAGTTACATTCACTGTAGGGAATTGGTGCATGTACATAACACATTTCAATTCTTTCCACCCTTTTTTAATTTTCCCAGCATCAGATTCATTTCTTTTTAAGACCTTATGAATTTAATTATATTTACAGATTGAAAAACATACTAATAGGCCAAAGAACAAATATAACATGTAAGACATTTGTACTAAGTTAAGGTACTTCTAGATACATTGTCCATGCTGGATTACAATACTTTTGTTTCCTCTTTTTTTTCCTGTTACTGTCTTTTTATATGCATACATGTATGTATATAATATATATACAGAGAGAGAGAGAGAGAGAGAGAGAGAGAGAGAGAGAGAGCTGTTTTCATATAAGAGAAACCATGCAATATTTAAACTTGTGTATTTGAGTTACTTAACATTATGTTCTCAAGATATATCCATTTTCCTACAAATGACTCAAGCCTATCCTTCTTTATGGCAGAGTAGTAGTCCATTATGTGTGAATACAACATTTTCTGTATCCATTCATCTGTTGAGGCAATAACCTTTTTTGAATCCACTGCTGGGTTGCAGAATTTCAGCTACTCCAGTTATGTATGACAATTTTGTTTTGGAGTGCAGTGAACTTTCTAGGCTTAGAGAATAATATCCCTCAACCTTTCTCTGTTTTTCTTCCCCAGGTGTTTTGGAGTAAGAGTAGAACTTTTGAGCCTTTATTTTTCCCTTAAAAGATTAGTTTCATATTAACATTTCCCATAAATAAAAGTGAAATATTTCCTAGAATTTGGTGGCTGACATTCCATGTGATTTAGGGAGTGGGATAATAAGCTTGGCATAACAATTTCAGTATGGCTCCTGTGTAATGTCTCTGCAAATGAGTTTTATGGGAATGTTTAGGTTCACTGGATTTTTTCCATTCAATGAATTCCAAAGGATTATCTCCTGGTCAGAATATATTTTATTTTTATATAATACAAATCCCTTGAGTGATATAAACAAGCTGAGTAAGTATATATATTGAGCAGCATGTGTTTTGGTTTACTATGTATTACTCATTTATTTTGCTATTTTGTGTAAGAGTAGTATGTATGTTCCTTCTGTCTTTCTGAGCTGCTTGACAAGATCCTAGAGCAGGTGACACTTTCAGCTTGGTATTCAGCTCAGTTTCCAAAAACAGTGGTTGAGGGTAGATAGGTCAATGTCAGCCTTTCCTGCTAAGCTGATTTTTGATGCAAGGATTGTATGATAATGGAGATCATATTCTTAATACTGAACAATGAGTTAAGTGGAGCCAAAAGCTATTAATCTCCCCTTGAATAGGACAAGATACCTCCTGATACCAGTCCCCTTAACTTGTTTTTCATTTCAAAGAAAAAAAAAGAGGTGGTAAATTTTTAGAGTAAGTAAAATAATTCCATAAAAGGTAAGTACATGCTGTAGTAAAATAAATACGTGGCAATTGATAAAGGAAAAGAAAAACTCACATGGTGGTGCATGCTCTGGGAGGCTGAGCTAGGAAGCTTTTAAGTTTGAACCCCATTCGGCAACTTGACAATACCCTATCTCAAAATTAAATAAATACATAAAAGTTTAAAAGGACTACAGTTACACTTCAGTGTGAAGGCCCTGAATTTGAAGCCCCAATACTTGATGATAAAGAGAAATAAAGAAGCTAAATGTCTGGTTGTCTAAATTAGAGGGCTAAAAGCCAAAGACAGATTTACAATACTGTGAAATAGTCTCTATTGGCATTAGAGGTACCTTTATGTCCCTCCTGCTTGGCTCTGTCTTTAAATACTTGCACATGCCATGAGGAAAAACCCGTTGTAGCTGTCCTCTCTTGGCCTTCAGTTGCAAGCCCCAACAAATGAGGTTTGAATTCCCTGTGCAATTTGCACAATACCTTTTATTCACAATACTTTTTATTTACCTTTTATTTCAATACCTTTTATTTACAAATCACCTAGAGAAATAGCAACTGGCAAGAGTTGGAGAGAGGAAAAATGAGAGGTAATCTGAGCAGGCAGGAGAAGTGAAAACGTTGTGCCAGAGCCAATGTACTTCATTGTTTTGATGACTCTTTCATGCTTTCCACAGCTGACAATATTCATTTAGTATTTGCTTATCCTAGGTAAGATAGAGGATATAGAAGTCCTACTTTTTTTTCCCTTTTTATCAGTACCGGGGATTGAACTCACGACTGCCTGCTTGCAAGGCAGGTGCTTATGCCGCTGAGCTAAATCTCCAGCCTCTAGAAGTCCTACTTTTAAGAAATGTAAATCAACATAAGGCAAATGTCAAACATGATACATAAATAATGATTTAAATGGGCTATAAATAAAGATAAAATGAGTGGCAGCCATAGCTTATACAAGTTCTTAAGCAATGGTGATCAGAGTGGATGGGAGAGGGCAGGCAGGTTCTGTGGGAGAGGTGATGTTTGATTTGAGGTTTGAAGGGAGGACTATATCTGAATTGAAAGAAGAGGGAGCTTTCTACAGCATTCATTACATCCAAATACACATCTCCTAACTATAGATCCTTAACTACCTGACATTTCTAAGAAGTGGCTGAAGTTGGTCCCTGGAATTAATATTTTAGTGACTCTAGTTTACTTTTGTGAACTTGAATTCAGATGTGTTATGAACTATATAGATAGAGAACTCAAGCTGGTTTGAGCTCATTGCACATGGAAAAAGGAAGAGAGAGCATAAGTGAAAAGCTTTGTAAGAATTTGCCACTAATAACCTTATTAAACTTGCATATAAGATGTGTTTCCAAAGTCATGGCATCCTCAAGGTTACATAAATTCTAGCTTTATTTCATCAGAAGCTTCATTAGGTTCAAGTGTCACTGATAGGCTTAAGTCTTACTTAGAGAAGGAAAGCAAAGGTGAAGTAAATAGGGACAAAAGGAAGCAGAGGTTCAGGGTTCTAGGGAGAGGGAGGTGAAGGAGAGTGGCTAAATTAATTGTTCCTATTACAGCAATAGAGGGCCAATGATAGTGGACTCAAGTGATAAACTTACTTTCTAATCTTTATCTGCTTTTAGATAATGCTTAACTTTGGATACATATGCCGGTTAAACATCTGTATATTACATAGGGATACAATACTTACATGTGTGCATAACCTTGGTAAGGTGGAAAACTTCAAACATTATAATACCATGCCTGTTAAACTCAGATGACATACATTTTTATGCTTTTCATTCAGATTGAATCTATAACTTTGAATGAAGAAAAATTCAAAACCTAGTCTGAAAATAAAAAATAAACTTTCAACTAATAAAAAAGCCATGATTTTTATGACTGTAGACCATCTGATACACAGATGATATAAAGAGCACATCCCCCATACACTTTTCAATGTTGCTGCTTTCCAGATGTCTGCTATTGAAAATTTCTTCCTTTACATAAACTGTGTTGTGTGATTCTCTATATTATAAAGTACTTTTCATTATGTTGGTAATCTTAAAGCTACTTATTTTCTTAGAATGTGAGGTAAAATACTGGGAATACATGTGTCAAAAATTGCCTAAAAATCCTCACCTATTGAATTTTAAAAATAGACATTTACATTTCCATTAGTGCCATGTTTGCATGTTTCATTACTGTTGAATATAATTAACAGTGTTTGTTTGAAAGGCTTTATGTGATAGTCAACTCTGGAAGGTTTGAAGT